CTGCTTGTTGGCTTGAAAAGAGGCTACGCGACTCGCATCTCGCACTTAGCAGTGTTTCAGTGCGCTGCCAAATTTGTTCAGGCTCACTACTGTCAGAAATTCTCAGTCTTGCTTCCTCAAGATCACCTTCCTACAGATGGTATGTTTCTTAGGTATATGGGCGCCAGTGACTTTTTTGGTGCCAAGGTGCTGAGCGACTTGCCAGCAGCCACGGCATTGTTGGAGAGGAACGTGGAATTAAATCGGCATGTCTTCCAGTCAAGGGGCTCAGCCAGCGTGAAAACGCTGGACTACCGGGAAGCTTTGACTGATCCCTACTGGCATGACTTCGACCTGGTCCTAGGTACCGACCTCGTTTGGCTGAAGGATCAATGCCTACCTGTAGCACAGTGGTGCAAAGCCTGTGGTGCACCAATCTTCCTGGTGAGTGTTCCACGCTGGGCTTGGCTGAAAGATGGACTGCTGGCGTCCTTCAGAGCTGTTGGTATGATTCCTCATGCGCTGAGCAACGGTCTCCTGCCTGGGCTGATCGCGCTGCTCTTCTTGCCCGCTGGCCGTTCTCCTGGCGAGTCCGTGCCATGGATTGCAGCTCATTGGGTCGAGCTTGCCGCCGAACATCAGGGAGTTCCGAGGTGACCGAAAAAAAACTCGCACGACGTGCACCTGTGCGTTTAAGCTTTCGGAGCATCGGAAAGCCTGGTCTTCATGGCAGGCACCGACGAAGTGCCGTACTTCTCAAACCCACATGTCATAAGACCTTTCAGTCGTGTAGTAAAAGATTCCGACCTATCTCGATGCCTCAGGCTGGGCTGAGCTTCAATCATCCTAGGGACCCCTCCATAATTGAAGATCGACCTCTTGATCAAAGGGTATCAGGCTTGTTGGTAAAACCTTGAAGCCCAAGCCCGTGCGAAACTGCTTGTATAACATCCTTCCGCGCCTCAAAGATTTCGTATGTATATGAAATACATATACATATACATACATACAAACACATACACCATATATGTACATACATACATACGTACACACATACATACATACATACATGCATACATGCATACATGCAGACATGTACATATAATCCGTATACCACCACATAACACCGCATATATAAAGCCTACATTACCCTTTCAACCCTCACACAACCTCACGAAACTACTGCTGCCAAGGCTTGGCCTCGCTTGAGAAGCCGTTTTTCAGTTTTTGCAGCATGAGATCATGCCCTGTAGCTCGGAGGCTGCAGCTAGCTGGCCACAGTGTGTGCGGTTATAGGGTTTGGACTTCAGGCTTTCGACGGGCATTGCAGTAGTTCAGATGAGGGAAATCAGTTCAGGGTTTAGGGCTTAGGGTAAGAGAGGGCGAGGGTTGCATCGGCGCTGGCCGGCACCTCAGTCCGTGCTGCAGAAGGGTTCGGGCTAGGGCCAGGGTTTAGAGATTGAGGTTTAGGCGGTTTAGGGTTGGGTGCGATGCAATATCAAAACAGGCTAGATGAAATGTCGGTGGTCAGGCAAATCAGTAGCTCAGTAGCTCCCACTAGCCTACTCAACCCCAAGCCCAAACCCATTACCCTTGATTTTCGCCAGCTGGCTCCAAGCCTTTTGCAATTCAGGCGCCAACGGGGCCCTGGTTGCTAGCATCCTGCACAAGCCCCTCGGACCCCATATCCCGGGCCCGATATGCACCGCAAACCACGATGGAAGTTGCATCCGGAATGCGTCATCGCAGAAGGACAAGATGGCGCAAGAAGCGAGGGTAAGGAAGTGCGATTGAACTCGTAATAGCACTCGTCGCAACCACAAGGCAAGCAACCGTCCCTAGCATTGCGGATGCCGATATGGAATGCTGCTATTGAAAACGGATTCAAGAGAGCCTTGTTTGCCTAGTTGAAGGGACGACGGGGACGATGGCCGAGCATGCAGGATTCACGCACCGATTAATTCTGTTTTCCCATTCCTAGTGCCGCTACTGCGGGCCGAGACTCGACAAATCAGTTGCCGCACAACCGCAAGAACAGCACTTTGCACGTCTCACGCCCACAGCTCAGTGGCAAACTGTCTAGTCCGACGAGGAACGCTGAAGTTTTGACTGTGTGCTTGCCGCCGTCGAGATCAGGTTCTTCTCGGTGTGTTAATGAAGCATATTCAGGACACCCACCACTGGATTCAGGAAGGCAGCAAACACATGTCAAAAACCTCCCGACAACCTGTCGGAAGTCTTAATGAGTAGCCTGGCATAGAAGTTCATAGATGCCACCTCTGCGTGCCCGGAAGAGCTGGGCTTTTCCGCAAGCTCCACAAGCCTCTCCTCGAGTTGCTAGACTACCATAGGTGCCTTAACACTTAAGATATGGTTTTGGGGTAGATTATACTATAACTATAACAAGGAACCCCAAAAATAGCATTGGTAGTCATTTAGGCCGCTACATTACACCCTTTGCCTGACCTAAACCCTAAACCCTAAACCCCTGAACCCCTGAACCCCTGAACCCCTGAACCCCTGAACCCCTGAACCCCTAAACCCTAAACCCCTAAACCCTAAACCCTTGCTTCAGATCTTAGTCACGGCGCACGGCGGGGGGCGCTTGCGGCCGGGCTCCCGGCAGAGGGGAGAGCTTTCATCCATTGGCGCCGTCAAAGATGTGCGGCCAATGACAAGTCCAAGGCATGAGGCCTGAAGCATGAAAGTGCTTGGAGGTTCATGGGTAGTTATAAGTGGGGTTGTAAGGGGTTCCTTTAAGGGTTCCTTGAAAGGGTTCTATGGGGTTTAGGGTTTAGGGTTTGGAAGTTCATGGGTGGTTATAAATGGGGTTAAAAGTAGGGTAACTATAGCTATAATTTATATTAGGGGACTTATAACCATACTAAAAAACTAGCCATGAACCCCCAAGTGTAGGGGTTTCGGCTAGGTCTCGTGTTTCTTCTGGTTCTGTTGGTTGGGGGCCAGTTTGGGGGAGCCTGTTGAGGTCTCGTGTGGGAGGCTCTGCATTTCTTGCGCCCAGGCTCCTACGTTGCATTGCGGGGCTAGCTAAAACATACTTAGACTTTTATGCCTCAACCGTGAGTTGCAAGGTTCCTGAATTGCAACCGTAAAAGCCTGAATAGCAAGCCTCTGGTTCCAAATCCCCCGATCCCTATCAACCCGAGGTTTCCTAGTCAGGCTCCTACATAGACAGCAGATTTGCAGATGACCAGGCGAGTCGTAGGGATGTGCCTCATACTGGTCGTAACGCAGCAAGACCCTCTGGCGCGTCATCTTATTCATTGCCCTTGCTCTGCTGCCTGCCCGACTGACTACGTGGATGAATCATGCGAGGTGTTTTTACAACCTGCATTCCGTACTTGGGTAGTTGTAGAGGGATCCCTCTACTGAGCGCTAGAGAGGGCTTCGACACTTCTTTTGTAATACAGAGTTTCGGGCTTTAGGGTTTAGGGTAGGTCGTGTCAGGTGGGGAAAGAGTCTCGATCGTGTCGCGAGTAGTAAAATGCAGAGACGTCTGGCAATTTAAGACCGGCTCCGCAGACGTCGACATCCTTGAGCCTGCTTGAACCCTAATTAACGTTTGGGGTTTCAGACCCCTTTTTGAATGCCCTTATGGAAACCTATGAAACCCTAAGAACCCGCAGGGTCAAGTTCACAGCTCTTAGCAGCCCCAGAACCCCTAGTTACGAAAGCGCACAGCGTAGATGAGAAGGGAATCATGAATATGACTTTCAAGCAGATGCTTGATTAAAGGGTAGAGATCGTTTCAGATCAGTTCTTCGTCGAAAAGGACCCAAACACTCACGCACACACCATGAAGAACCCTCTAACACTCAAAGGTTTAGGGTTTAGGGTTTAGGGTTTAGGGTTTAGGGTTTAGGGCTTGGAGACCGAAACCCCAAACCTCAAGCCCCGCAAACCCGGCACTCAGGGTTGCGGGTTTAGTACTTGGGGCTTCACTCATCCCCAAGCCCCCCCAAAACTAAACCCTAAACCCTAAACCCTAAACCCTAAACCTCCTGAGCCCCAAGCCTCAAAGTCTGGAGACTTGGAGCATCTTGGAGCCATGGCTGGCGCGGAGGAAGGGATGGATCTGGAAAGCGAGGAGCTGCTGTCCGGCGGAGGCTCCGGAGGGTTTGTCGTTCTTCAGCAACGGCACTAATCCTAGGGTTTAGGGTTTAGGGTTTAGGGTTTAGGGTTTTCATAAGTTTGAACGGGCTGCAATGTTTTGTGCCAACAAGGGAGGGGGAGTTTTCTGCAGAGAGAACTTCGAGTTGTGTTTCTTTGTGGGTTGCGGCGGCTCGGGATGTGCGGGCCGGGCTAGAGCAACCGAAAAACCCGAACATCCCGGCTTCATTCTGCCTTGATGAGGGTTTCATGAAGGCTTAGTAAGGGCTGCTTCGGGGGGTTGCAGGATGCCAATGCTGTGCTAGATCGGTTGGCTTTAAACCCGACTTCTAACTTACTTCCTCGGTCTCTCGGATTTAGGCGATCGATGCATTGGGACATCAGCTTTGCAGGTTAGTTCATCGGAGCATATTTGTTATTCTGAAGATGTGTATTTTGCGCTAGGGGCTATTTCAAATTTATGTGCTTTGGGGCTCATTATGTACGTGATCAGCAGCCTTAGTTTCACTGTAGTCGAAATGACTTAAGGAGACCATCTCTGAACCTCAGCCGTCCCGGCTTGGTATATCTTTTATTTCCCCAATTGAGTCTTTATAATAGGTGACACTCGTGCACCCCTACTTTAGCCTCCTCGGCGTAATTAGTCTTCGAAGTCCATCAACTAGATACAGTGAGCGTGTGGACTTTGGTGTGAACGTGCGGAACTTTCCCTGATTATAGGGTCTACGGCTTAGGGCTCTGTGATTGGTTTGCGACCGCATGTTTCTGATTGACATGTTTCACATTGCAGACTCGAACCATATGCCTCGCCTGGATTGTCCGAGTGTGAGCGCCGAAACCCTGAACCCGACACCCCAACCCAAGATCACAGAAGGACTCGAATTTGCCAGGCCCGACCCCGAAGCCACGCTCAGCCCTCCGACGTGGAATCGCCGGCACGGCTGCAGCGCTACGCGGTATTGTTTCATTCCATTCGTTCATCATCCATCCGTCCACCCATGCATGCATAAACACATGCTTCTTGTTGGGGGCAGGCAGAGTTTTGAGTTTAGGGCTTAAAGTCTAGACTTTCCAGAGAGCCAGCGACCCTCAATTCAGGAATATCGCTTGAATCCTATTACTCTCTGTCTCTCTCTCGGCATGTGCGGCCTCCTCTGCTAGTGAGCGTGCCTCACTAGCCGTAGGTCGTACTTGCTATGTGCCGGGTTGAAGGTTCAACGTAGAGCGTCAGCATTTAGCCATATCGTTCCTGAGGCTTTTATCAGCATGAAAAACCCAAAATCCCACCCTCTCTGTCCCTCTTCTTAGACTCTCTCTCTGTCTTTCTCTGTCTCTTTCCACCAACCTCGGTGCGAAAGGCTGACGCTGCTGGCCGTGGCCTCCTGGCACTTTTCTCCCCGGGTCGAAAAGCGAAGCAGCGGACTGGGAGGTGGCACCCAGGGACTGTCTGAGCCCTGAATAGCCCTCCTTTTTATGAATTCCTTGTGTGACTGATGTGTGTCCTCTAGAAGTACTTGGGAGCAAAAAGTGAGGGTGCTTTGTGTAGGGGCAGTGGATTGCATCTCCCCCCAGAGCCTTGCCTGCTTGGAGGTTCATGGGTAGCTTTTTAGTATGGTTATTATAAGTCCCCTAATATGGGTTATAATTATAGTTGCCCTACTTATAACCCCATTTATAACTGCCCATGAACCTCCAAGTGCCTTGTGCGAGTGCGAGAGTCGAAACCCTTAACCCCCGACAGCTCGCAGTAAACGTTCAGGGTTTTGGGTGCTTGGGAGCTCAGTCGGGTGTTCGTTTGATTTTGAAACTACACTCCTATAATACGGTGTCTTACGAAGTCATCTTGCCTCGTGCGTAGCCAAAAGTAGAGCGATTCCGCAAATGTTCGCGGGTTTTCAAAGTGCGAGCTGCCAATCAAGCGCGAGCTTGCGACAAATTGAATTGAAGCTGAACCCTAAACCCTAAACCCTAAACCCTAAACCCTAAACCCTGCTATCGCCTTTTGAGGTGCCTTCAGTGTGGCTCGTTGCTATTCTAGGGCGTTCTATATCGGGAGTCCGGAGTGCAGGGTTTACAGAGTGGGGTAGGGAGCTGAAGGGGTTTTTTAGGGTTTAGGGTTTAGGGTTTAGGGTTTAGGGTTTAGGGTTTAGATTAGTAGGAAAGGTGCCTTACACTTTCGGGCTATGCACAGGAGTGTTTATTCGTGCAAGTGCTTATCGCTGTTCTCTTCAGCCTAATTAGTCGATGGAGCAATTGGGTTGATAAGGTGCAGCTTGAACTGTCTTTGGATCTGCGTACTGAGGAATAGATGATTGCCGTGATGCATGCTGCATAGGGTGTTGTAAGTTTTGTGCTGTTAGTCGTGGAGCTGTCGGGGAAAACGATCCTTGATACCTCGGTTGTTCCTTCAAAGGGATCCTGAAGTTTGCTCGGGCATGACTTCAAAATCAGGACTTCACTCCTGCATCGCTTAAGAACTTCGGGGGCGGGAAGTTTAGCTTTCTGTTCGGGGTGGACCCCCGGAACCCAACACCCCCTCTCGAAGGCCTCCTCGAAGAGTTCCAGCTTCTGGATGCTTGGCAGATGCTCTCAGGCGAGGCGGCGGGTGAAAGAAGAGCGATGAGGGTTAGGAGTCAGGAGCCGCCCACAGCGAGAAGAGTGTTGTTATTGATGCATTCTGCAACACACGCAGACGGAGACAGCGGCATAGATACGTGCTGAATATGTTAAAGTGGTTGTTGCCAGAGAGTCATGCAACTCAGAACTGTCGCCCACGGAGCTTGAATTCTGTCAGGCGGCAACCCCTTCAAGTACATCTGTCCGATGACGGTGTTCCAACGTATGGCAGCAGTCGCACTCGTAGGGAAGGCTCAGCGCTGAGATTCTTGCTTGAGGCTCATGGACACATGTCGGGATGAAAGTCAGGTAGCCCTAGTTGCACGCACCTATGGCCATCACTGCGCAGGCCACACTATGTATTGAGTCATAACTACCCAAGTGCCTGGCAGAAGAAGCTGCCGATGGGGCACTGACAACACACACCATGTAATCAGTCCATTTCCGTCTTGCAGTGAGCCATTTGAGCTGGCAGGGGTATGCACATGTATACATTTGTTTTGTATTCAGTCATGTTGAGTTCTGTTTTCATTTATATATATATATATGTATATATATATATATACATACATATGTGGTATACAACTACACTGTAAAGACTTGTGTGCTTAGCAGGTACTTTTCTTTAACAGTTCTGACTGTAGGGTCATCGTATAGGCATAGTTACTTTCAAACAGCTTTATCATGGGTAGTATGCGTCGTTGCAACAGGGACAAATGCGCTAAGCCCCAAAATTATCTAAACCCTACCTGAACCCCTGAAAGGCCGCAGAGGGTGACTGCTGTACAACCTACGACTCGGTTCCCATGCGTCTCGGCGTGTGACAGTAGAGAACTCTCGCGTTATTAAAAAGGATTTAGGCACGGGTCACTGTTAGCGCTCCTGTAAGGGCTCCTTCAAGAATTTTCTCAAAAGGGCTCCTGTAAAACTGTATTTTATGTTAGTTGGGTTTTGTGCTCGGTCTTCGAGGTGCAGGGTGTGCGGTGTGGATCTTGAGGAGCTAAGATAGAAGCCTGAATAAATTCTTATGGCTCGTCATACTAAGTGCACCATAACACGCCCTGTAACCCTGCTTCAATTATTGAGGCCCCTGCTTTAGAGGCGTTTTCAATTTTTCCGTTGAGCGTTTAGGACTGTGGTTTCGGGTGTGGGTGTTTTGAGTGTGAGAAGGGGGTAGTGCGGCTGTGGCAAAGGCAATGGCGGCAGGAAGGTGCGCAGAGGTCAGGGCGTGCATAGGGAGGCAGGAAGATGGGGAATCTTTTCTTATGTGCTCTTACAGTAGCCTAAGAGCACCCCACAGAACCTTGGAGTCAGGAATTCTTTGGTGCTGCCGTCCCAACCCAGACCCTAGACTCGGCTACCAAATCAGGAACCCGAGTGCACGTTCTGCAGACCATATTGCAGAATCCGGAGTGTAAGAAATTCCCCTTAACATATAGATGAATCCGCAATACGATTCATCGTATCTTCCTCAATCAAGGGATATTGGCTATTGGGCTCTGTGGGTACAGCAGCGTTGCGAGGGTCTTCTTGCCCGGTTGGGACACCGCCAAGTTTCAGGCCTCGCATGCTTCTCGCCACAGGGAGAGGAAAAGCTAGCAGTTTCTGGCTTCGTCTAACTACCTTAACCTACCAAAACCTACTTTTTTGTAGGGTCCCTATAAATTCCATATTAGGGTTTATGATAGGAACCTACCAAAAAAATAGGGTTTGGTAGTTTAAGGTACAAGGCAGAGTCGTAAGTACACATAATCCCGAGCCCTGCAACTTCAACCACGCCCACGGGTTCCATGATGGATCCCTGGAGAGACCCTCCGTAGGTTCAGCGAACATCGAAAGCTGTTCAGGCCGGTAGTATTATTAGGGGTACCCCTTAAAGGGTACCCCTTCTGAACCCTATTTTGTGCTCTCTTAAAAGGGACCTTATTGAGAGGGTCTATATCTGCAAGGG